TAACTTTATAATTTGGATAACTATATCTAATTGGAAGAACAGAAAGTTTTAAAGCACACAAATAACCCAGAGGCTTATTGTTTTTTTTAGGCTTGAGAAGGCAATGAGCTATTGTGTAATTTACACTGTCAAAAGACAAAATTACAGCAAATTTAGCTTAAAGATCTAATTGGCTTTTATTAGCGATTCTAGAATTTGGTGACATCTTATTCTACAAAATAGAATAGGTATTCCAATGAACTGAGCAGAGAAGTTTGGCTTTGTAGGGAGGAAAAGGCTGAAGAAAGCAGAAACAGAATAAAAAGGGGATAGATCCTTTTAAAGTTATTTTCCTTCCTTGTGGTGTTAAAACAGAGGGGAATTTCTTATCACGTCAACTCAGTTAAACTGGTCTCCTTATGTCTGGTTTCTGTGAATCTCCTGTTTTTGTTTTTTGTTTTGTTTTGTTTCGTTGAAAAACTGGCCCGTTTCTTTTTTCTTTTTGATTTCCAACTTTTAAGATCAGGGATACGTGTGAAGATGTGCAGGTTTGTTACATAGGCAAACGTGTGCCATGATGGTTTGCTACACAGATCATCCTATCACTTAGGTGTTAAGCCCAGTATCCATTTGCTATTCTTTTTGATGCTATTCCCACCCCCTACCCTCCTACTATATCATACATAGTAATCCCCTTTAAATATATGTCACCTCCCACCCCCACCCTCTGAAAGGCCCTAGTGTCTATTGTTGCCCCTCATGCGTCCATGCGTTCTCATTATTCAGCTGTACTTTTAAGTGAGAGCATGTGGTGTTTGGTTTTCTGTTCTTGCATTAGTCTGCTGAGGATAATGGCTTCCAGCTCCACCCATGTCCCTGCAAAGGACATGATCTCCTTCCTTTTTATGGCTGCATAGTATTCCATGGTTTACATGTACTACATTTCCCTAACCCATTCTATCATTGATGGGCATTTGGGTTGATTCCACGTCTTTGTTACTGTGAATAGTGATGCAGTGAATATACACACGCATGCATTTTTAGAATAGAATGATTTATATCATTTTGGGTATATACCCCGCAATGGGATTGCTGGGTCACATGGTATTTCTGCCTCTACGTCTTTGAGGAATCTCCACACTGTCTTCCACAATGGTCGAACTACTTTACGTTCCCACAAACAGTGTAAAAGTGTTCCATTTTCTCTATAACTTCACCAGCATCTGTTGTGAAAACTGGCCCATTTCAAAGTTCAGTTTGATTACGTAGTACCTTGCATGAGTGATTCCATTCTGTTTTGTTCTGGTCTGTCAGAACCTAGTGCAGAAGCCTAGTCTAAAACAATGGCCTCCTATAAATTTTGCTTAACAATTCTCCCCTTTTGGTCAGGATCTCACCTAGATGAGACCCTGATCAAATTTTAGGGCATCAGCCCTACCCTCAAGTCACCGTCATGCTGGGCGTTAAGTCTCAATTGCCTTATGTGGATAGTGATCACAACTTCTATTTTCAGAGTAATGACAAGTAAAGCCCCTTTTGCTTCACATCTCTCTTACTAGATCCTGGAAAGATTCTCTGCCTCTAAGAATTTATGTATTTAGATTATGTCTACCTGGATAATCCAGGATAATTTCCCTACTCAATGTCCTTAAACTTAATTGTGTGTGCAAAGTACCTTTTGCCATGTAGGATAACAGTTCCAAGAATTAAGTTCTAAGGATATATTTGGGGGATCTTTTATTCTGCCTTCCACACAGGGTGTGATGGTGTTATGTTAAATGGAATCATTACAGTCAGGATATTGACCTGAGTCATACCACTCTGAAATATGACTTGAAACGGGTAGGGTGCTTAGTGACATAAACAGGCAGGAATCTCAAAGCACCCTCCATGACAGGATTGATTTGTAAGAAATTTAATTCCTGGGGAGCAGTGTTATAACAGTAACTTTCTTTTATACATATTTTTGATTTTCCACAATTAATTCCTTTGCTCCCTGGGAGGTCCCAGTGTTACAATCAGGATAATGATACATACTACACTTCAACTGCATACTTTTGGTCTCTGAAACAAGAACACATTTTATTGTCATGGGAATGTCATTCCCTCATAGTACAGACTGTACCCTATATGTCGGTATCAGTATCTGTTAGTGAGAGCACTTTTGGCATTTTAGGTGGGATAATTCTTTATTGTGTAGGACTGTCTCACACACTGCACGGTGTGTATTGTCCTTGACCCCAACATACTAACATCTCTGGTCCCCAGTCACTGGACAGCCCAAAACAAATTCACACATATGCAACTATTAGTTAATAGGTTATTGATATGGTTTGGATGTTTGTCCCCTCCAAATCTCATGTTGAAATGTGATTCCCAATGTCGGAGGTTGGACCTGGTGGGAGGTGATTGGATCACGGGGGCAGATCCCACATGAACGATTTAGCACCATCCCCTTGGTAATAAGTGAGTTCTCCCTCAGTTTGTTCAGAGTTCTGGTTATTTAAAGGTCTGGCACATCCCCACCTCGCTCTCTTTCTCCCTCTCTCACTATGTGACATGCCTACTCCCTCTTCACCTTCCACCATGATTATGAACTTCCTGAGGCCCTCACCAGAGGCAAATGTCATGCTTCCTGTGCAGCTTGCTGAACTGTGAGCCAATTAAACCTCGTTTCTTTATTAATTACTCAACCTCAGATACTTCTTTATGGAAGAACAGAAACTGACTAATACAGTTATATTAATCCTGCTTGAGAATCATTGTTTTGGTATTCAATACATGTTTTTAAAAGATGATGAAATGAAGTATGAGGTTACCAACACTTATTTTTCATTCATTCATTTTTCTGTACATTTAACAAACAAGTATTGAGAAACTTCAGCATGACAAATGCCATGTTTCACTGCTTGTCGAGGACCTAGATGCTCTTGTTGGAACCTTCTATTTCTATGTTTACCTCCTCAGATCAGAGAAGCAATTAACACTAATATTCAGATTTCAAGACACCAGTGGGGCCATGTACATCACTTTATTCTAAAAGATCATTGACCCACATGTGGTCCTCTCTTTTTGATGTCATATGTCCTCTGGATAACTCCTGTATTGTAACTTCTTGTTGTTGTTGTTGTTGTTGTTTCACTTATATGTGCCAAGTGACACTTCCTTCAAGTGACAAACTTGTAGCAACATTGGAAGAAAATGGGGAAGAAGATGCTTTGCTTGAGCCTTAAGTTCAATTTACATGCTCTTAAGTAAAATTACAAAAAATCCTATGCTAAGATAAAGGGACTATTCAGGCTAATTATTTACCTTGTTGTTAATTTGCTGGTGTGCATAAATGTTTTAGGAAGTCCACATGAACAGTGACCAGACTAAGCCAAAATTATAATTGACCTCATAGTATGATTCTTCCCCCACTGTAATGCAAAACCTGCTATGGTTTACATTACTTGAAATTCCCCCACCTTCTGCCCACCCAGGTTCCCATAAAATAATGTTAACCATTGAAATATGAACCAATCTACAAAGACTCCAAAAACTATGCAGGAAAACATGGAAACTAATTACAATCATACAGAGCCCACACATAAGAAGTAACTGAAATGGGGAAATAAACATTCAAGACAAGCAGAGTAGGCTCCACAATCTACACCACACCTTAGAATCAGGTGGGGATTTCACAAGGAAAGGAAAAGACTGTGGACTGCCAGTGATGGAGGAACACGGAAAACATCAACTAAGGCTTTGCCCAAGTGGTGCAATACTGAGATCAGGTGTGCATCTGAGTTTGGATTAGCAGAGACTGGAGAAAGAAGACGGTAAAAAGTACTTGGGACCAGACTCTGGGAAACTCACCCTTTCAGGGTGACCAAGACATAGTGGAAGAGGGTAGAGTTTTCCTCAAGAAAAAAAAAAAAAAAAAAGATAATATGTTGAAGATAAGAGTCCTACTGCAACAAGATAGTATCAAAGGATTGTGATTGAGTTTAAAGAATCTTTTATTTCTAAGAGTGCTGATATCATCAAAGAGAAAAAGCATTCCTTTTTATTCTATTCTTAAAGTTTGGTTCTGTTTGTCATCTCAAGGGTTTCTCCTGTCAGCAGCCGTGGTAGTTATATAAAGGAACTTGAATACACACAGATATATTTTGAAAACTGGAAAATTTAACCTAAAGTACATTTTAGCTTTGGAGTGCCCTTGGGGATGGAAGTGAATTGCTCAAGAGATGAATAATGGGATTCATTACTATGACCCATTGAAATCTAACATAACCCAAGGTATTCCCTTGCTGTTGAGCAGCTTAGAGACTGAGGAGAGTAATGCAGCCTCACTTAAGTGATTTCTTATCCTGCCACTGAAGCTACCAACCAAAGGCTATTTTCTCCCTACAAATAGAGGTGTATTTATGTTTATTGATATAGGTGACAAAGGCACATTCTTTGCATATTCAAATGACCTTGTTTTAGCTCTTTTTAGTTCCTGTGATGCCAAAAAGTATTTATTTATCTTGCATACTGTAAAAACAGACTTGATCAATATTCTACGATATAAATAACTACTTACATATTTTGCTTTTGTTAGTGTGTCAAAATAGTCATATAAATGATAGATTTAAATCTAATGTTAGATTATCAATTAAGAAAAACTTTTCATGGTTTTAACCTTATTATACAATAGTCCCCCCTTATGCACAAGGGTGTTCCAAAACCCCCAGGAATGCTTGAAACCTAGGACAGTACCAAACCAATTGCATCAATCAGAACACGTTTTTGTTCATGTATTCCACCCCAAAATTTAAAGCCTTTTCTTTCTTAACTAAGCACTTATGATGCACTGTGGCAGTAACTTTATCAGTTTGAGGTGCAATAGCAAAACTAGCATAAATTTATATTTTCCTTTTTCACAATTTCAAAAAAGAGAAGATTTGTTCCTATAGCAAATCTTAGCAACCTCAGCATACGATTCTTTTTCTTTCTTTATTAAGATAACGTTCACCTTTTCACTTAAAGGAAGCATTTTATGGCTTCTCTTTGGCATATCTGAATTGCCACCATCACTACTCTCGATAATTGAGAACATTATTGAGCAAAACAAGGATTACTTGAACACAAGCCCTGCAATACTTCCACAGTGAATCTGATAACCAAGATGGCTACTAAGGGACTAATGGGTGAGGACTTGTAGACAGCGTGGCGACGCTGGACAAAGGAATGATGCATGACCCAGGTGAGATTTCATCATACTACCCAGAGTGCGTACAATTTAAAACTTATGAATGGTTTTATTCCTGGAATTTTTCATGCAATATTCTGAAACCTCAGAAAGTAAAACCTCGGTAAGGGGAACTACTGTACAGTCAGATCTTGAATAACCATCTTTTGGTTCAACGTCATTTCCCTTTAACGTTGATGATAAAAGAAAAATGATTCCCAGTAGGCCTACTGTCTTGTCTGGAGCTTACCCATTCACTCTATGTCTGCGTAGGTTTTCTCGGAGCACTTCGAAGCTGTATATGAAAGCTGAATTGGCACGTCTAAAGGATCCCAGTGTGAGTGAGCCAGCATGTCTGGTGGGGTTACCGACTGGTTCCCCAAGTTTCTGGGATGGGCTTTGGCAATCTGGGACCCTGGAATAATTAGGTAAATAAATAGCTTACTTGTTTTTATTAATCTTTATTAGATATAGGTACAGATCACATTTATTTGAATATTTAATATTAGAAGTGTTTTCATCCTTATGTAAAAGTGTGGTGATCATTTGTGATCAGAAATATGCCATAGGAACTTAACTCTTGTTTGTATCAGTTAGCCCATGGTAAATTAGTATCATTATAGTGGTTTTGCTTAAAGTGGCAGTTTCCAAGGCAACATTGAGAACTTACTATACATGCAAAATAAAATTTACTGCAAAAAATATGAATTCAAAACTGCGAGGCCACATTTTCTTTATAATATGGAAGATTCAGACAGATGGTTTCTATAGCACGTTGTATCAAACACTGAAAAAAAATAAAAACCAAAAAAATTTTTCAAAAAAAAAAAAAAGAAAGCCCTTAATTTTTAATTAATTAATTTTTAAATGAGGCTAGTGTAACACTGTTACAAATATCAAACCAGTAAGATGGAATAAATTTAAAAAAAAAACCTATAGGCCCATCTTATTTACAAATATATGTAAAAATGGAATGGGGCTCAATCTGTATTCAGGAAGCCCTGATAAGGGAAAACAGTCACACTTAATACAAATGATATTGTGACCTCATGACATTAAAGTGATTTGTTCAAGTCCTATATATTGTAAAAGTCTGGATCAGAATCTAAAAATGCTAATATCCAATCCTAAGATTTTCAAATAAGCCAGCTGTAATAGTCCATTTTCACACTGCTGATAAAGACATACCTGAGACTGGGAAGAAAAAGAGGTTTAATTGGACTTAAAGTTCCATATGGCTGGGGAGGCCTCAGAATCATGGTGGGAGGCAATAGGCACTTCTTACATGGTGACAAAAGAAAAAATAGGAGGAAGCAAAAGCAGAAATCCCTGATAAACCCATCACATCTCATGAGACTTAATAACTATCACGAGAATAGCACCGGAAAGACTGACCCCCATGATTCAATTACCTCCCTCTGGGTCTTCCCACAACACGTGGGCGTTCTGGGAGATAAAACTCAAGTTGAGATTTGATGAGAACACAGCCAAATCATATCACCACCTTTTTCTATTTTATGATTGGATCAGTTAGGATAATATCTGCTGTTATCACAAACCAATTCACAAACTGAAAGATTTATCCCAATTAAAGTTGATTGTTTAATTGGGAATTAACAATTAACAATTAACAATTGTGGAATCTACACCAACAAACACTGATAGGTTTCCACCTGGGTATTGAGGCCCACTGACACCATGAAGCATGTGGCTCTGCCATTCTCTAGGGCCTTCCTTGAGTGTTCTGCAGTCAGCTGAGAGAAAGAGAAACAGGTAAGAAAACTCATCTTCTTCTTTATCCTAACAAATGCAACACTAATTACTACATTCATATTCCATTACTGAAAAGTGGTCAGATGATTTCGTGGGTCCTAGAATGGGGTCTAGAATATGGAGTCCCTAAAATAGCCCTAAAGTTTGTAGTGAAGTTCTATCTATCTCTTTATGTAGATGTATGCACATCATTCCAGTTTACACCTGGTGCCCTGTTTTAATCTATTTATTTTCATCCAATCCAGCATACTTTTAGTGTTGCTATTCTCAAAAGTGTCCTGCTTTGAATGGTAGATTATAGGATCACCCCGTGCCTTGTCACAATGCTCTTGGACATTTGCAGGAGGATTTCTTGTTTGTTTTTAATATGTAAAAAGCAAATAAATATGCCAACATCATAGTGTTTTGCTGTAGTTATCAACCAACATTTTGTTGAATGTGCCTAGGCTGTGGAAAATACTTAACACCCCTAATAATCCAGAATGATCTATTTTTGAATATTTTTCCAGGCACATTTAAAAAATGATAATTTTAAAATAAAATTATATACGAGAAATTTATTCAAAATAGCATTATGGTAGTTTTTCACCCTAGATAATATAAATTTAAACAAATTCTACATGGGTTATTTGAACATAGCCAGATGTTCCAAGGCATGGTGAATATTTTATGAACATTATGGAGAAAAATTTAAATATTCAGTAAAAACCGTGCTTAAAAGGAAGAGGACAACCAATGTGCTCTGTTGCCTGAAGGCAAAATAATTGGATATATGTCCCTTTAAAGTCTCTTTCAGTCCTTTAGTACAATAATAAATTCCCCTGCAGAGTATAACTTGAGTACATAAAAATGTTCAAAAATGATATGATAAAGCAAGTGAAAATGTAGTAATAGACCCTTTAAGCAATATTATGCACTGTCTCCTGAATACTAGCATTCTGTGATATCATGTAAGATTTGCTTATGAAATCTATCTGAGAAACAGAACGTAACATGACAAAGTGTTGAGTTCTCAGCGTAAAGGCAATATTCTCTCTCTTGAAATATAATGAAGACTACACTTCATTAAAGTGTAATTGTCAACTTGGGGAAACAATACAGCTTTGCTATGTCAAAATAACCCAAACGAATAGAACAGAACATGAATTTTAAAAAATCTTGGGACAGGAGCATGTATATTTAATAAGATGTCTTCTATCATGACTTTTCAGAATGAAAAAATATTAAATATGAACGTGGTAGACACTACTCATTCTGTTTTTCTACCAATCTGTCCACCCTTACCATAATACCTTCATTGCCCCTCATCCTCACTTCAAATGTAAAATAAACATAGCTGTTAGATGTCAGTGTCACAGTGAAGATTGTATAAAATCTTAAATGCTTTTCAGCTCTGAAATAACAGCCTGACCAGTGCATTCTGAGTTGAAACCTCATAAATTCTTAAATGTAGTTTTCAATGGCAAATGTTCTGAAACCTTCCGGATACTGACTCATGCCACAAAAAAAGAAAAACAAGAAGATATAGATATCTTAATTATTTTGATAGAAAATATCAAAAAGTTTTCTCTTTATTTTTAATGTCTTGCTGAATTGAATAATTGGACACTTTTGAATGCTCTCAAATTCTCACATTTCAAAGTTTTATGAATTGTCTTTTGGAAATTACTGTCCATTATATACACCTTCATTAACTAAGATGTCACTAATCATTCTTTGAAAAATGCAAATATTGATTAGAAATAATTTTATGTATTTCCTTAAAATATGTTATTGGTAACATACAAAGCAATATAGATGAAATTATTTTAGTACAGACAGTCCACAACTTCCAATGGCTCCACTTATGATTTTTTGACTCTAGTACTGTGTGAAAGAAATACAGCTTTCAGTAAGAACTGTATTTTGAGTACCAAAAACAACCATTCTGTTTTTCACTTTCAATAAATATCAATAAATTACATGAGATATTAACTCCTAATTATAAAATAGGGTTTGGTTTGATGATTTTGTCCAACTGCAGACTAGTGTAAGTGTTCTGGGCCTGTTTAACATAGGCTAGGCTAAGCTATGATGTTTAGCATGTCAGGTGTATTAAACACATTTTCAACATGATATTTCCAGCTTACAATATGTTTATCGGGATGTAAGCCTATTGTAAATCAAGGTGAATCTCTAATTTAATTGACATATGACAAATAAAGTTATACAGAAAGGGTCCTAAGGATTATTACATCCACCCACTAATTTTTCAAATCAATTAAGGCACAAGATTAACTAAGTTTCCATAATCACTCCAAATTTTGTTGGCGGAGCAGAAACTGGTATTATATGCTTTAAATATTTATTATTTACTATGTAGTACTTTGTTATATTATTTCTCTTATCAGTGCTAAATGATAGAGTGATCATTAACATTTCCATTTGGCAGATCAGGAGAATGGGACATTGGCTTGAGCAATCTGAGAAGTTTGGAAATATGGTGTGACATGTGTAATTTATAGATCATATAAAGGATATCTCCTTTCAGTTATTTGCTTCAGTGTTTCATCAGTGACCTACTTACTGACACAGGCCTCCATAACAACTGTTTCAGCACTGACTGAGTGGTGAAGTTTAATACTAAAAGCTGAGAGAGACAGTGCCCTTTTACAAACACTGGGATATAGCAAAAGTCCCCCAAGAGTTTTGCAGGACTTTCCTGGGCCTTGCAGCCTTCATTACAAGATAATGGAGGATTTCTTAAAGGGACCCATTTGGGATTAAACAAGTTTATTGGGGGTCTGAAGAGACTCCCCAAACCCCATGATTTTGCAGGAGACAAGATAAGGGTAATCACCCCAGCATCTGGACCCATTTAGATTAAACAAATTTACTGAGGCTCCAGAGGAAGGTCTTCAGGACTCATATCTTAGTTATAGATTAGGATAATTTAATCACTTACGTCTTTAGATGAATGCACACTTACATGTAGACATATAGATTGAAAGGTACATAAGCTATGGTAAACGTTGTAATTTTGAGTCGTTCTGGTGATAATTTCCATGTCTTCTCCTTGTACCTGGTTACAGAAATAAACTCTCTTCTTTTTCAGTTTATCTGCATCTCATTATTGGGCCACAAGTAAAAGCAGCCCACCCCTCAATTTGGTCGGGAACACTGCTACACTGGCAAGTGTATTTCTTTCCTAAAATTTCTAAATGTGTTTGCTGGATCATTGTGCTACTTTGCTCAAAGTCAGGCTTTTTTGTTTAGAGATAAACAGCATTGTGTATATCACTTTTATTTACATAATCTGAAATGTTTAATATGTTTATGTGAAACATAACATGTGAACATTTAAACATGTTTATTTATTGTATTTTTCTTCCAATCTGTCCACTTTTGACAAATATTTTGCATAAATGCACCAATGAAGATATAAATAAGTGACACTTTTTGAATAAATGCACCAATGAGGATGGCACAATACTAAACCAAAAGAATGTAAGAAGTGTCTATTTGCAAACAACAGTCATCTCCGGGAGTCTCTTTTGAGTATACTGAGCTGTCTACAAATCATTTTGTGTAGGGCTGATGATTACTCTGACCTTCTTGCTCTTCTTAGAGTAAAGGGTATTTGTGAGAAAAAGATCAACAGACATTTTGCTTTGGAATAAATGACAACAGAAAGCAGAGAGAGGAAGTGACTGACCAAATCTCCAGCATAAGTTAATGCCTTTGTTGTTGTTGTTGTTAGCTCACATGCTCATTTACTACTCTAATTCAATAATTCTTAAACTTGAGCAAGCATCAGAATTACCTGAAGGGTTTGTTTAAACACCATCTTCTGGGTCCCAATTCCAGAATTTCTGATATAGGAGGTCTGAGTGGGGCCTGAGGATTTACAATTCTACATGTTTAGGTAATGCTGACATTGTTGCTTTAGGTACCACTCTTTCAGAAACCCCAACTTAATTGCTTACTTACTCAATCTAATTGTTGAATGAAATGTAGCAAGCAATAAGTGGTTTCTGCTTTTCCTGGTTGCCCCTTCTGAGTGACATCTTTGGACTAGGTGTTTGATAATTCAAATTCTAAATTTTACAACTACAGCTGTAAGATCTACAACCATAAGATCTGTGCTCTTTTCACTGAATCATATGTTTATTTTTGAATAACAGATAATATCATTAGAGCTTAACTCAACATTTTATAATAATTTCGTGAAAGAATAAAAGAAGTCAAATTTTACATAACATTTTGTCTGAGAATAAAGAATGGTTATGGCCAGTATGCATCTATTTTTCACAGTTCTGGAGGCTCAGAAGTCCAAGATCAAAGTGTCCACAGAATCACTCTATGAGGTGGGTCCTCTTTTTGGCTTGCAACAGCCTCCTTCTTGGTGTATCTTCACGTAGTGGAGACAAAGGGATGGCAAGCTCGCTGATCTCTTCTTCTAAGAGTGCTAATTATCTGATGGAGAATTCACCCTCATGACCTCATCTAAACCTAATTACCTCCTAGAGGCCCCACCACCAAATGCCATCAAATTGGAAATTAAAGCATCAACGTATAAATTTCAGGTGAACAAAATTCAGTCCATAGTACCTCATATCCAGTTTCTCATATTATTAACAGCTTAGACTGATCTGGTACTTTTGTCACAATATTGCTATATCATTATCAACTAAAATTCATAATTTATTAATTTATCTGTTTTTTATAAAGTATTCTTTCTCTATACCAAGATCCCATTCATGGCATCATATTAAATTTAGTCATCATGGTTCATTAGGTTCCTCTTGGCTCTGACAGTTTCTCAGACATTATTTTGATGACCTTGACAGTTGTCTGAGGTATATTGTATTTTGTAGAATGTTCCTCAACTGCAGTTTAAGGGTTTTTGGTGTATTTTGGATAGCAGTCCTTTATCAGATATTTGATTTACAAACATTTTGCTCCCAATATAGGCTCTTTTTGTTTTGTTTTGTTTTGAGATAGGTTCTCCTATGTTGCCCAGGCCGGAGATCAATTGCTATTAATAGGCTTGCTCTTAGTGCATTACAGCCTGGAATTCTTGGCCTCAAGTGATCCTCCTGCCTCAGCCTCCCTAGTAGCTGGGACTACAGGTACTTGCCACCAGATGAAAATTAGAAGTTCTAAAAATAAGTCCAATTTATCAAATTTTTTCTTTCATGAATCATGTTTTTGGTGCTGTATCTAAAAAGTCATCAATATAATTAGGGTAACTTAGATTTTCCTGGATGCTATCCTTGAGGAGTCTTGTAATTTTGTACTTTCCATTTATCTGTATGTTCTATTTTTACTTAAATTTTGTGTAAGGTGAAAGCTGTGTGTCTAGGTGTGGTGTTTTTTTTTTGTCCTCTTCCTCTCCTTCTCTGTGCCCATCTTTTTCTTCTTCTTCTTTTTCTTCTTCTTCTTCTTCTTCTTCTTCTTCTTCTTCTTCTTCTTCTTCTTCTGCTTCTGCTTCTGCTTCTGCTTCTGCTTTCCTCCTCCTCCTCCTCCCCCTCCTCTTCCTTCTTCCTCCTCCTCCTGCTCCCCCTCCTCTTCCTCTTCTTTCTCATGTTCTTCTACCTTCTTCCTTCTTTCCTCCTCTTCCTCTCCTCCTCTTTCTCCTCCTCCTCTCCTTCTCCTTCTTTCTCCTCCTCCTCTCCTTCTCCTTCTTTCTCCTCCTCCTCCTTCTTTTCCTCCTCCCTCCTCTTCCTCTTCCTTTCTTCTTCTCCTTCTTCCCATTCTTCTCCTTTTTTTCTCCTTCTTCTTCCTTCTGTTTTTCCTTCTCTTCCTCCTCCTTCTTCTTCTTCTTCTTTGCATGTGGATATCCGATTTTTCTAGCACAATTTTCTAGCACTTTAACAAGACTAGTCTTTCGACATTTAAATTCCAAGGGAGCAAGGGAGTGTTTGTCAAAATCAGTTGAATACATTTGTATGGGTCTGGTGGATCTGTTTCCAGGCTTTTTGCTCTTCCTAGAGTGGCTATTCTTTCATCAATACCATGTCGTCCTGTTTACTGCAGTTTTATGATAAGTCTTGAAATCCAATAGAGTCAGTCATCTAACTTTGTTCTTCACTATTGTACTGGGCCTCCTAGCTCTTTGTCTCTTTATATAAATTTTAAAATCAGTTTGTTGATATTTACAAAATAATTTGCTGGGTTTTTGATAGAGATTGTGTTGAATCTATAGACAAAGTTATGAATAATTGATATCTTAACAGCATTGAATTGTACAGTTCATGAACATAAAATATATTTCTAGTTATTTAATTTTAAAATAAATTGTTAACATGTTTTATAGTTTTCTGATACAGATATTGTACATATTTTGTTAGATTTATACTTCAGTATTTCATTTCATCGAATATTGTAATCATTTTTATTTCAAATTCTGATGATTTGTGGCTTGAATACAGCAAAATCGACTATAGTAAATTGACTTTGCCTCCTATGACCTTCCTATAATCACTCATCACTTCCAGAAATTTTTTGTAGAATCTTTTGTATAGACTCTGCAGACAGTGATATAATCTCAGAATGAAGGCAATTTTATTTCTTCATGTACAATCGATATACAGTTTGTTTTTTGAACTTGCTAGGACTTCCTCGTATAGGAATGGTGAGATAAAATATTTTTGACTTGTTCCTGATCTTAGGAGGAATATATTCAGCCTCTCATGATTAAGTATGCTATTATCAATACATTTTTTTGTAGATTTTCTTTATAAAGTTGAAGATATTCCCTTTTAGTCTTAATTTGCTAAGAATTGTTATCATGGAAAGGTGCTGGATTTTTTTCAAAAGCTTTTCTGCATCATTATGATGTTTCTTTTTTCTGTCTGAAAAATAGATCAGATGTACTACACTGATTGACTTTCCAACACTGAATTAGACTTACATACTTGAAAAAAAAATGAGTTGAAGACATCTTTTACCTCACTCTGTCCCACTTGAAAGTCCCAAATAAATGTTAGATGAGTAATTTGTAATTTATAAATTGCCTAACCTAAAATCCACTGAGCTTTGATATTTACCTCTTCCTGAGAGGTCCTCAAACCCAAATTTTAAGTTAACTAAACCTAGAAAATTATCTCAGAACAAAATAAGTGTTTAACTGTCCAGTTCTCATTACTCATCTAGTTTTAGGCTTTACTTAAAATTTTTGGCATTAAAAAAATGTTTAAAAATTCGTAAGGTCAAACTTTCCTAGTGTGTACTACAGTTTTATTTTATCCAACAGAATATTTGACTGAATAACCTTACCTAGCATATTTCCTCTCAATGTAGGTGTTTTTATTTTAAAATAATGCATTTAGAGAGTGACTATTTTATTTTCAAAAATAAATAAAAATAAAAGATAAATCGAATCCACCGATAGTCTCATGTTACCATTAATTAAATATAGCTTTATTATTTTTCCCTTTTTTCTTCCTAGTATCTTTTCCTCCCTAATGATTTCTTTACACATTTTTAATCAGTTTTCACAGTTAATACTGTATTTAAAATATTTTTCACACTACTTCTTTTTCATAAACTTCATTTTATACGGCTGCTTG